CCCCAAGGGTTGCCCGCCGCTGGAGCTCCGAAGATCCCTCTCGCTCGCTCACGCCGGCTGGCTATCGCTAGCTCGCGCTGCCTCGGTGGTCGAGTGAGTTCAGCTACTGCCGTCGCCTTCGTCGCCGCCGCCGCCTGGCTCACCGATCGCTGGAGCCCCAGACGAACGTCGCTGTCACTCGCTCTCACTGGCCGCTGTCGCCGCCGCCAGGTTCGCCGACCACTGGAGCCCCAAACGAACGCCGCTGTCGCTCGCTGGTCTTGTCTCGGTCTGAGTAATGTCTTGGTTAGTGTAAGTCGAGGTAGTCCTGTACATTCGAAGGGATGAATGTGATTTTAGCACGTCGGGTTTCAGGACATGTTCCTCATAGCCCTTGTGACACTAAACAACCACCTGGAGAATTATCCCGAAGTAACAAATGATTTTTGGGGGGCCTGGACCAGAAATGTTTTGAAAAACGTTCTCATGAAGGCGATAACACTCTTTGCCAAAAATTGATGATTTAACATGGACCCAATTCAAGGGGACCCCTCCATCTTTTGGGTACATTCAACCCAAGTTGTTTCACAGTGTATATGTCAATAGATTCCATGCTGTCGGTGTCTCAATTTATTTGCAAAGTACAAGCTTGGAGACACGACTTGTTCCTGATTTCAAGAGCAAGGGTGTGTGTCCTGGATGCTGTCCTCTATTTTAGGATCCCTTTACTGCCGAAAACAGTCAGGGACGTTTCCCATGATTCCATGGGTAGTATTTCCCACCCCTCAAAATTGATTTTTACTCCTTTGTCCCCATCAAAAGCTTCCTCCTGTCATGTGTTTCTCTCCCCCCCATGACCTTGATTGGTTTTCCCCTCATCTGTTTCAATTCACTTTGAAAGATTAGCACTTCACTTGCATCCAATTCATCAATCTTTCTATTTCCACTCTTTCCTTGTGATCACACCAGATCTTACTTTTTGCCAAATAACAATGGGGCAAATGATTCACTTTCCGCAGCGCTTCCATCACTAAATGAAAGGGATTTCTCCCACCACAAAAAGCTTCCAAATCTGGACCACTGGATTTTCATTCCCACCCACGTGTTCGCGGAGCCACCGCTCAGGCCTTTGGGAAAGAAAAACAACAAAAACAACAACAAAAACACTCACGACTATTAGTTTGAGCACAGGAACACAACTCACATCGATGGACGTCGTGAAGCATTGTGTCCGGCCATGGGCAGGACTCCCCAAATCTTAATGCTCACCATTCAAGAACGCCAACTCTGGGTGTGAGTGGAAGCTGGACAGGTGACCACCCTCTTGGACACAGTATTTGTCGGCCTCAGACCAAGTTTTGCGCATGCCGAAGAAGCGATAGCAACCCGTGCCGAATGTCTTCCAACCGTCACTCTCAATGCCTGAGGACAGACACATTTTGAGCGGTTGTTTGACAGGCGCTTTTCATGCAGTGGGCTCTTTGTATCAGCAGGAGGTGGCTTGGCAGTCTTTCTACAAGCCAACCGCTCCTGTGTATACCTGGGGTGTCCAAACTGTGGCCCGAGGGCCCCTGACGGCCGGCGACATGACCAAAAACAATGTATAAGAAGATACAATGAAGCCATTAGTGATGATAAGAATAACAATTTATCTTCAAAACACTGCAGTGAATAAAGATCATTCTATTTTAAGAGGCAAAAATAGTTTCTTCCACTCTGCTCGATGGCTGATTGATTCAGACATCACATTAATGATCCTGGGGTAACTGAAAAATGGTTACCTTCCAACTTTCGTTTTTCTTTTTTGGTTCAGTTTGTGGCCATGCAATTCGGCGAAGGGGTGGTGGGTACCCTAAAAAAATCAACTACTTTCCTGAACACCTTGAACAGACGGCTGATGAAAAAAACAGTACAAACAATGTATAATTGCTTTCTTGACTGACTTGAGCTGAGAAAAGCTCATGAATTTTAAAGGGGCCCTTTCATCCTTCCCTTTTTTTTTTTAAATCAAATCTTTGGACACCTCTGGTGTATACATGACAGACTTACAGAATATATCCTATGAAAGTTAATGCAAAAATATCGACTGGTAAATAAGACTCTTCTCAGGTACCTGGCATTTTTTTTCTCTTCCATACTTACACATGACCGAAGACGCGAACAAGCTGAGCACGCAGGCCATCAGCAGAAGTGGCGACATGGTGACTGCTACCGCGGTCCGTCACGAGGAGAAGAGATACACTCTGGTCAGGTGGAATGACTCTTCTGGTCAGGTCGAATGACTCTTCGATGTGATGAAGCCAGCTGGCTTGGCTGCCGAATTTAAGCACAGCTCACGGAACAACATCAAGAGTTGAAAGAAAAAGGGCTGCACTTTCAGTGAGCCATCACAAAGACGGGCACACGCGGTGCTACAGGGGATTCAGCGGGGGCACTGCAAGGACACATCAAAGGTGCATACCAAAAACAAAGCAGTTGTTGTCATCGTGAAATCGAAAGAAAGGGAAATGACTCCAGCAAAGCGTCACGTCCTGGCTTCGGTGCCGTACTTTAAATTGCAACATGAACTTTCATCAAAACGTTTCTACTTGATTTTGTATTTACCCTTTGCCATGATTCGTTTCATTTTACTGTTTTTTTATTGTTTTATGTGTGATATTTGCTCCGTGTACGGCGATTTGTATACAGCGATGGTTGTTTTAAAGTGCTCTCTAAATACAGTTGAGTTGAGTTGAGTTGAGTAGAGGGAGGGGGGGGTCCAAAGACAAAGCCAGTGACCATAACAGAACACCTCGAACACTCCCCAATAAATTACAGACAGATGTAAAACTGCAGAGGTCAAACGACACCGCGCATGGGCCTTACCAAGCGTGAGTCGAGTGTTTGTAAATTCCAAAGTATGTTCAAATATGGAAGTTGTAACATGCATTCACAACCCCACATGCCCCCCCCCCAAAAAAAATAGAGAGGGGGAGGGAGAGAGAGAGAGAGAGAGAGAGAGAGAGAGAGAGAGAGAGAGAGAGAGATGTGTCCCATAAGTCTCCATATATCGTGTATAACACAAAATATAGTTTTGTATGGTTGACAAAAACAGATTGTCGCAACCTGAAATTAAAAATGTCACTTTTCTGAAAATAAATGCTTAGTAGACAATGCACGGACGTTGAAAGTAAGGACGCTCATGCTTCTTCTTAGCCAATGATAACAAGTCAAGTCAGGTCAGGTCAACTTTATTGTCAAATGTACTTTATGTGCAACATACGGCACAGATGATATTTCTTTCATCTCAACCACAGGAGAGAGGGAGGAGCCTCTGCGGAAACCCGCGCCGCCATCAACACAACAGTTAACATACGATGACAAAATAAAACAACCCAACACATAAGACACACACAGTCATGCAATCTTCACCACTTTTTCTGCAGACACTTTGTTGTTTGAAGCAGTCATCGATGAAAGAGGAGAGATTCACGTCAATCGCGATCCAGCGGTAGATCACGGGCTGCTCCCAAAACGATCACGTGTGGTGTAGAGGGCGCGGGGGGGGGGGCAACCAACCATTTGTGTGTGTTTGTGCATGTTAGAATTATATTATTTCATGTTAATGAACACTGCACCCTAATCAACCTATCAGTCTCATTTT